CATGACTCCTACCTCATCCATATGGCTCACACTGACAAAGGATCTACACACTGCGGTACAGGGTTTCAGGATATTTCCTGAGGGGCCTTGACTGACCTTATCAGATACAAAAATTACATTTCTTGTTATATAGGTCTTGCTTTATCTTGGTCTTAACCATCCAGCAGAAAAGTATAAAAACAAGCTATAAAAAGTAACGCCATGTTAATATGCTGAGCTGTAAAGGCTCAAGTCAACAACTTCTGACATTACCAGTCCTATGGAAAACCCATTACTATTATGAACTACTGGACTATATTGGAATGTTTTGCTGAATTCATGCACCTACAATATTTAAATGACAATGGAATACCCTTCTCTGACAAAACCAAACAACAAAAAGGGAATACAAATGAACAACCATTTTGTATCTGTATATTCAAAATAGTTAGGATAGATACACAGCTACTTTCTCTTAATCCAATGAATAGCAAGATTTGTTCTAATAGTGTTTGTAGACAGGATATCATGTCTGTATCTTGTACAATAAATAACCACTAAGACAACAATATGCCATGTATTAATTATTGAAACTGTCCTACTAATTGGTTTTGAAATGGTCACATTGCTGTTTGTTTCTCAATAAAATTATTTAAAAAATAAAATAAGAAAGGCATAACTCCTACCTTTAAAAAGTACAGTAACAATAAAAAATTGATACACAGTGGCTTCTTCCTCCTTCATTTGGTCGGGTGTGTGTTCCACACACTGTCTGAAATGTTGAGGTGACAGAACTTTGGCTCTCATTCTATGTCAGAGGATCCTATGTCCTTTGTCCTGATATAAGAAATATGAAGTTCTTCAAGGGAGGGTGTAGAAGCGGGTTCATGCATTGCTTTGCTTTGTCCCATTTGTGTGCACCCATTTCTGTGGGCAGTCCCTTCACCCACAGCCTCAGTGCAAAGTTAGAACCCAGGTCATACTCAGGGGCGCTCATAAGGAGACTTTGATTAGCTACAGGATGATGAGCTTCTAAATAATTGCTCCAGTCGAAGCTGTGTTCTTTTAAGCCCCCTTGTATTAGTACACGTCTGTAGTGCACACCTTGTGGGGAATGGGGCCGTGCCTCTGATGCATCTTACTTGCTTGTTTTCATTCCCTTTCCTTTTCCAAGGTCTTGGAAAACATGAAGAATCCTTAGAGTGGCAATGTCAGAGCAAATTGCTCCACCAGGAGTTGAATGAATCCTTCAGGCAATCTGACATGAAAAATGTACCCATTTTTGCTGTTTCAACCTCAGATCTTTTGCCCTGAGTGCTTTAGCCACTGCCCTAGCCCACTGCCTGCCTCCAGCCCCCATTCTTCCACCTCCCGAGGCTCCACCTACTCACTCACTAGTTCCTTTCCTACACCTCACATTGAGTGTAGCCCTCGCATGCAAGCCGCATTGCCCAGGGAAAGGCATCCTGCAAGTTGAAATCACTATCAATTTGCTAAATTCTAACAGACTTTAAACAGGGAATTAGAATACAATTAAATAGCATAAAACTATCAGTACAGACACAATGAAAGGGCATATTCTGTTATATAATATTTTAAACACTATATGTGTAATTGTACACACTATATATGTAAACAACTCCCCCAACCCTAACCCCTATGGTACTGGGGTGTGAACCCAGGTCCTTAGCACTGAGCTTCATCCCTAGTCCATTAATTTTTTTTTAGAGAAAAGTATTGCTAAATTGCCCAGGTTGGGCTCAAAATTGCACACATAGCCTCTCAGAGTGCTGAGATTACAGTGTAAGCATTTCATTTCACACAATGTTTTTGAAATAATGAGAGCCTCTGGCCAGTATCAATGTGGCTTATGTGGCCTTCGCAATTGACCTTTCTTTTCCTTTTTTGCCTTTCTTGCTCTCCATTCTTTTAAACATTATCTCACTCTTTTAGCCCCTGCCAGGCTCCCTGAACACATTAAATGTCTTAGTGTCTTTTTCAGCCTCTATCCCATTCCTTCATTTCATAAAACTTTGAGACCCAATTCAAATACCACCACCTTTCACGCATGATGATACATGTCTCTCATTCCAGCAGAAGGCTGAGACAGGAGGATTGTTGTGCGTTCAAGGCCAGCTTACACTTCATAATGAGTCCAAGGTCAGCCTGAGCTATGTAGTGAGACCCTATCTTAAAAAAACAAAAAACAAAAAAGGAAAAAAAAAAAAAAAAAAAAAACCCAAGCAAATAAATATCACCTCCTCTGTTTCTCCCAGGCAGAAAGCAGCACTTCCTGTTGTGTGTCAGTCCTATCTCTTCAGAGTACTGATCATGTTGTGATATATCTAGTATGTCCTCTCTGGGGAATCCCAACTCCTCAGAGAACATTCTAGTCGAGCGTGAAACTCTCAATTAGAGAAATGAAACAGGAACAAAAGTGCAATAACTTTTATGAAATACAGAAAATATATTCTGACACCATCATTATGGAATCTGACAAAATCTTGAGGGACGAAACAAGATAGGTATGAAAAAGGTAGGAGATTGGGAGGGTGCTTCCAGCTAATGCGGGATGAGAATTTTGTGGGGAAGACAAGACACATAAGTCACAGACAGTTAGTTGCAAAGCTGAAAAATGTATCCAGAAACTGTTCATTAAAAGAAATCACAGGACACTTTATTATTTTTCAATATTTTTCAATATGATTGCAGTGATAACAATGTCCATGGCCTAATTGGCAAGAAGTATTAGCAATGATTATAATGTGAAGGAGTAGAAGCCACCAATGAATATTTGTATATAAGCTTCTTTGTTTATTTCCCCCTCAGTGATTTCATGATATCTTAGATATTTTTATCCAGATTACAGATGCATTTTATGTATTTTCTCGGTTTTTATTATTTTTGGTGTACAACATCAACTTTTATTTTGAAAAATAATTTTCTAAGTTCTACAGTGGACTTGTCATGATAAAGGAAACTCTTAACATAGCTTTAACCAATAGTCATTTCTACACCTGGAAAGTGTAGTTTGCTAATTTCTGCATTTATATTCCTTAACACCGTTTGTTAGAGATGGGTGCATTGAGGGGTTTTACTTGTGTTGCCGATATATGTTACTCTTATTTTTTGCTTGCACACTGATGGTCTTCACACCTATAATTCACCCAATTTGAGTTGAATGGAGTCAAGCTATATCAAGTCTAAAGAGAATTAGAATAAGAAAAAAAACTGTGTTTCAATTTTATTTTAATAAAAACACAACATAAATTAGAATATAAGGATTTTATTTTGCTTAGTTCAAACTACTATAAGGGAGAAACTGTCTAAATGCAGGTATAAAAATGGATTTCATCCTCTTTCATGACATTATAAACGTAAAATCATTCTTGTTTTTCTTTTGCATTTTTCATTCATTCTATGTTCCTGCTTCTTCATGTGTAGATAGGGTTCTTAAATTTTTCCTATTCTTCTCTTCTCCTTTTTGTTTATTTGTAATTTTTTCTCTTCCTCCTCTTTCCTTTCTCCCTTTTTCTTCTCTGTTTCCGCCTTACAATGTTGTTTAGGCATGCTGTAAACTTATTCATTCCCCAAAGGCAAAACTAGCTATCTGAGCAACACTTTGTCAGCATAATACATTTACAGAATGCATATTTATGAACCTTTGAGCTTTTATTGTTCCAGAGGGCAAATAAAAAACATGAAAAGTAGCAATATAGTGTTTCAAAGGTCCCTCAAGGAAAACAAAAGTAGCTGGAAATAAATTTGGAAAAAGGTTCTTCTGTAAAAACAGAACCTTGAATTTGTATGTACAAAAGGTTGAATAGTAGAAACCCTTTTTGCTCTTCCTCTTAAACTAAGACTTAGGAAATTTTAAACTTTTTAATAGGTCTAGCCTCTTAAAGTCTGGAACATAATAATTTTAAAAGAGCAGTACACATAAATGTTTATAATCTACAAAATCTTAAAACAGCATGTTGCATTTGGCTGTAATAAAAAAAAAAGGGGGGGGGGAGAGTTTTAAATTGAAAAACCCATCTTCCAAATTGCAAGCTTAGCTTCCAGTATGGAGTCTTATACTAAATTAGCAGGATTTAAGAGTTTGGAACTAGAAATAAAAATCTTACAAAGTGTGTTTTGATAGGCTGATTTTAATTGTCCTTAGCCAAGTAATTTCTTATTGTATTCCCAATTCTCAAAAATGAATAGATTATTAATATTTAATACTTGGTAGGGAAGTGACCACATTTCCCACTATGTCTAGAGTTGTCTACACTGTATCAGATCGGGAAACTTGAAGTTAAATATTTTGAAGTATTTTGAGAGGTAGCTATAAGCCCCTGTACTCATTTAGATGCCAAAGAGTGAGGACAGGGTAATCTCTTGGGTATCGCTTCCAACTTTCAATACACTACACTTAGCTACTGCTTAGTTTAAGTGCTTAACAAATTCAGGGCAACAGCCCAATATCTGTTAAAAAGGCACCAAAATGGACCTTCCAACTTTAGGCTTTAGGATGCTGTTGTTTGAATAGTCAAGAATAGAAGATTCTTTCTGTAACAGAAGAGCAGCCTTAGCCCCAGTTTACTGTCTGTCTTCAGCAACTCAGTTTTCTTGGTTCTACCTCTTTCTAATCAAATTGTTGCCAGAGAGAGAGGGAGAGAGGGAGAGGGAGAAGGAAGGGGGGCGAGAGGGGGAGAGAGCGGGAGAGAGGGGGGGAAGGGGAGAGGGAGAGGAAAGGGAGGGGAGGGGAGGGGAGGAGAAAGAGGAAGTCTTGAGTACAACTTAGCCATGCCAAAAGAAGATTAGCTTTTGATTAACTATTAAATTCTCTAGAAGTACCATTTCTTTTTCCTACTTTGTTAGTATAAAAAAATCAAGTTTCAGCAATAACCCTTCAGGAGGTTTCCATATCAATTGGGAAAAAGAATGGAAAACACCAAGTAGAAACAAATGCATTCCATTTGTCATTACGGGCCTAGTGTCCTTTCATTTGACCAAGGAAGCAATAGACAGTGGATATGGCTTACGTGAGTAATGTCAATAGACGGCGAAATCATGCCTCCTGATTATCCCTTGATGGCTTTATTGTACATGCGCATTGGTCATGCTTTTTATTTCATTGGATAAGGACTCACTTGGAAGTTGCTACTAGATTGAGAGGTTATAATGATAAAAGATGACAAATACAAAAAAGCAAAATGAGGACTCCCCGCCGCCCCGTGCATAGTGCTCACCGCCCAGCCGGTGCCGCCCCTTCTACTGGGAGTCCAGGCGCTATGGGCATCCCCGTATGAGGCAGATCAAGATCAAGACCGGCGTGGTGAAGCGATTAGTCAAAGAAAAAATGATGTATGAAAAAGAAGCAAAACAACAAGAAGAAAAGATTGAAAAAATGAAAGCTGAAGATGGTGAAAATTATGCCATTAAAAAGCAGGCAGAGATCCTGTAAGATTCCCGGATGATGATCCCAGGTTGCCAGCACAGGTTAGAGGTAGCATATACTGACCTTCAGTAGATATTAGAAAGTGAAAAAGACTTGGAAGAAACTGAGGAGTATAACGAAGCGTGTGTAGTTTTGGACTCAGTGAAATTAGAGGCCTGAAGTTTTTCTTTTTTTTTTAATTTGTGTGTGTGTGTGTGTGTGTGTGTGTGTGTGTGTGTGTGTGGCCAGCTCAGCCCACCAGGGGGCGAGGCTGGCTGGCATGTGGTGCTGGGGGATTGAACTGAGGTCCCTGTGCTTTGCTTAGCTTAGCTTGTTCTAGGTAGGTGCTTTAGACCACTGAGCCATCTCACCAGCCCCAAGGCCTGAAATTTTTCTGCACAATGCTTTTGCATTGTGCATTAAGTCCTGGGGTCCACTCTATAGTTCATTGTTTTTATCACTGCTGGGTGTTTGAGTAGTATGGGAATGGAATTCTTTTTACAGTTGCAAATATTTTTCTTTGCATAATTTAATGTGTCAAATAAATGAGTTCATCTAATTTAAAAAAAAAAAAAAAAAAAAGCAAAATGAGAGATGGTTTGGAAGGCATACCTTCCAGCATATTTCCTATCTGTGTATTTCATCTTTTTCTTAGGCCTCACAAATATAGTCATCTCTTTGAGGAAAACTTTTCACTTTATAAATGCTGCTGTTTTGAGTTTTAAAGTTATCAAATGACAGCATTTTAGAGTATTTCTAAAAACAAAGTATACTATTTCCTTTAAAACATGATGAATTAAAGATTGTTACAAATTCCTTACAGGTCTTCCCATGTAAAGGCGAAGCCCATTTCCAGCTCCCTGGAAGTTTAATCATATTTATTTATTTATTTATATATTTATTTGGTACAAGGTCTGGCTACGCAGCTTGGACTTATAGTGATCCTTCTGTCTCAGCCTCCTCAGCACTGGGATTATAGGCGTGTACCACCTTGCCAGGTTTCAGTGGCTGGCCTGGCATACCTGGGATTCTTGGGCTGACACAGCATATGATACCAGGGATTGAACAAGGGTCCTTGTGCTTGCCAGACAGGCATTTAGACCATCGAGCTATCTCCCAGGCCTCCCTGGAAGTTCAGTCTGGATTTTTTTTACTTACATTAACCAATAAAATAAATAGTAGTGTCTAGGCCACCACAGGCCCAAAAGCTTCCAGGTGCATTCTCCTGGAATCCCTGGCAGCTTCATGAAGAGAGAACAGACAGCCAGAGAAGAGTCAGTGGCCTTCCCAGCTGCTCCTGCAGCCTTGCCAAGGTGACAGATGTGAATGAAGCCACCTTGGATTCCCAGCCTCAGTCAGTGCCCCCGGAGGACACAGTATACAAGAGATATCATGTGAGAGCAGAAGAGGAAGCACTCCCGAGTCTAGCCTAGATCCCAGCAACAGGTAGCTAGTGCACTCAAGGATCCACTAGTGATGATTTAAATCATATAAAGCGTTGCCCCAGATGATGCACTCCTTCACAACGAGGCAGCCAATTCCCACTGATGCTTATAAAGCATCCATTATAATAAAAAAATCTGTACTGCTAGACGCATTTCGTAGCTGGTTCCTACACACCTTTGGATGTGTTCTTTGTTTTCTTACTGCTCTACTCAGCAGCTCTCTTATAACTTGTGTCAGTGCTTGAAGAATAATGTTCGTCTGGAATTTATAACTTAGTTATAACACTTTGACCTAGGCTGCACCCAAGCACCTAAGATGTCAGAAGGGGGCATTTTTATGTTTATCTTGTAATGGGTTCAGAGAAGGGTGCACAAACCTTATATCTTTTTCGATTCATACTTTCTCAACAGTCTAGCCTGCAGTGTCTGAGGGCACAGTGGAAGTATCCGAGCTTTATAGAATTATGGACTGATTTGCCACTCAACTTTTCCATCATAGCTCAGATCCTTCTATCAGGTATGATAACTTGGAATTTTATTTTAATTTTGAAGTAAATTATGATCCTTACGATTTTTCCAAAGTGAACATGCAACACCTTCAAGGAATTGATTAAAAATGGCTTTACAACTAACTGGTGGCTCACATCGATGTGAGGGGAATAAAAAGGATTTCACTGATGAAAATGAGATTTCATGGAGCAAATTTGTTCAGAGAGAACTGCAGTGAGAGTTTGCCTCTCCATACAAAACGCAGTGAGGAGACATTGGTGGGGTACTTGGAGAGTGTGGGGTGGGCTCCCCCTGGTCCTGGGGCACAGTGGCCCCTGATGCATTTAGCCAGCGGGCCTGAGGCCACAGAGTGAGGCCGCCTTTGCGAGCTGGGAACCTGCCTTCCAACAGAAACTTCAGTGTGAGAGAATGGTAGGCCAAGGTTGGGGATTCTGAGCCTGATTTCCAGTCTCTCTAAATTTTATTTTTAATTTTAAAAATTGATATAGTTTTACATATTTATGAGGCACAATGTGATGTTTCCATTCTTACAGGTTATATATGATGGTCAAGCTAGGGCCACTGGCATACACAGCTTGTCCCGCAACACCTATCCATTTTTGTCTTGGGAACGTTAAAATCCTTTCTCTTGGCTATTTTGAAAATTAATGTTAATTGCAGCTGTCCCACCTCGCTGTGGTACACCAGGACTTATGCCTCCCATCTGACTATAATTTTAGGCCATTCACTTACCTGTGCTTTTTGAATGGGATCCTCCTGCTCAGGACGGAAGATTGGCGCCTGTCAGGACTCCAAAAGTGAGAGACGTGGGTGTCTCAGTAGCCACTGAAACAGTGCACATCAGGAGTGGCCAAAGAGTGACTGTGCTGTGCCTGCACCAGGGTCCTGGGCTCAAGAAACCCAGGAGGACCCTGCAGAGTCTTAGAAAGTCAACTTTGGCAACTGCGGCCCTAAACTTCTGCGGTAGTGCCAGCGGACCTCAGCCAGGTTTGAACCTTCTCTTCCGCTCGTTGCCCTCAGGAGCAGCTGCTGCAAAGGGTGAGGAATAAGGGCTGGGGGTGAGGTGGAGGTGAGAGGAAAAAGGGAGGAATCACTCCTCTCACCCCTGCTGGCAAGGACAGAATTTTCTTCAAAACAAGCAGGACGCTGTGTTTGCCCTGGAGCAGACACACCGGCTGGGGCGAGATGGTGCTCCTTAAGTTTCAGTTACTGCAGGATGTTGTGTTACACAGTCCGGTAGGGAGTGAAAGCAGAGCAAGAACTGTCTCCACGGGGAAATTTAAGGAGGCAGAGGGAAACTGAAGGTGCCTCGCGGCCACATTCCATGCAACCAGACATGCTGTGATTTAGCACATCTGTTACGTCACCCAAAAGGGTCTTTTGGAGAATTTCTACTTTAAAGTATTTGTAACAGTATGAAAATTGATTCTGATATTCCTTCTTTTTTTGATTCTGATATTCTATCACGGTAATACAATATTTATGGTCCACCCTTTTACTTCAAAAAGTGCTAAATGCAGAGAGGATGGCACCCTGGAATTATTGGAACAGCAAGCAATTTTAAAATCAAATTATTGTTTACTACTATTAAGTGATATTCTGTCATCTTTTTCTGGGACGGCCTGGGCCACCATCTAGCATGCTCTCACATTCTAACTTCTGAATTGGTGTAAACTGTCTGTATGTTATAAGCAGCAACGAACTCTGCCTGGTAAGCATTTTCTATAGAGACCACATACACAAGATTGCCTTATCAAAATATTTATTAGGGCCAGCTACTGATTTTGTAATTGAATATGACTATTGCCATAATAGTATAGCCTCGTGAACGCACAAAATTTATTATACATGTATGAAGTAATCCAATCAGCAAGGGTAGCTGCCTGATAAAATTATAAGACAGAAGGAAACAACTTTGGGAATGAGGCAATGTATCCCAGGGCTAACCTGCTCCAGGTTTTCCAGTTTTTGTTTTTCAGCTTATTTGAGGCCGATGGAGCTCTAAAAAATAGATTAATCTCATCTGTGTCTAACAAGAGTTTCTGGCTACACATTTTGGCATAGCATGCCATGACAATGTTTACATTGTCTTAAATGGAAGGTACAGAACCTATGCAGGACTTTGCCAATTATTATAATTATTTTGTATTTCAAGGAAGGGTCTACAGGGTATTTAGTGCCTCACTACTAGCTTAGGCTCATAGTGATCCGCTTGTTTACAGCCTCCCAAGTACTGGGATTACAGGTGGGCACCACCATGCCCAGTCTCTATTGCTCTCTCAGTACACCCTGGATGAGGACCCAGCATGGCAGGCCCGGGTATCAAACCCCTTGCCCCCTGCACCTGCTTGCAGGTGCTTTAATCCACTGAGCTATTTGGCCAGACCTGGACTTTGCCAATTAAAAGAAATAAAAACTAAATTATTAAATTAAAAAAAAACTTTTTTAGTAGTAAAACACAGGTTGGCATAAAAAAGAAGAGGTTTTAAAGTAAACAGAAAATATGCAAAAAAAAAAAAAAAAAGAGGCAATGTCTAAAAGAATTCTCAGAGGGTAGTTTTAGATACATTAGCAGCTTTATGAGTGATGACACAAAACCACTTAGGACCAAGGCTTGACACTGTACTCATCTATGGGTGAATAACAGAGTACGCTACAGTTTATTTAAAATGTCAGGAATTTGTGCACAGCTTAGCTGAGTAGTTGGACTCAGGGCTTTTACAAAATAGTCATGTAAGTGTTGGGAGGTGGTTAGCACTGTGGTCCATCTCAAGCTTCGTCTGAGGAAACAGCCATTTCCTAACGCATTCCCGTGGCTGCTCACATGGTTCGAATCCTTGGGAAAGCTGTAAAAGTGAGGGTCTGAGTTGCTCCCTGGCTGTCAGCCAGATGCTCCGGAGTTCCCTTATACATAAGCCATCTGGAAAATAACTTGACAACTGGCTTCTCCAGAGTCCAGGAGAGGACAACAGAGGGGAAGAAGCCACAGCAGCTAGGACAGAAGCCAAAGTCTTGTAGTGAACTACTTCAGTGGTAACATTCACCACTTTTCCATTATTTTATTGATTGCAAGTTACCAAGCCAGCACGGACTCAGGGGACGAGATTACTCAAGAGCATGAGAAGCGGGAGGGAAGTCCCTGGGGAGCTGTCTGCCGCCCTCAGCTCTGAGGGCTGATGAGTTATACGAACCTGAACAAGTCAGCTCTAGGAAGTTTAGCCTGCT